AACCCGGACACGCCAGCAGCCCAGAAGCTGCGGTCTCTCCTCGGGCAGCAGGGGACGAGTATGTCTACCCCCAGGGTCCGTTAGCCCGACCTAGACTTGATCGGCATCGGACCAGCGGTGCGGACGGGGGGCGAGGGGGAACCATCCTTCAGTGCAGCCGGGAAATAGACCACCCCAGGTCACTTACACGAGCTTGGCCTCATCCTCTACCGCACCTCGATTCATTGCCTTTCTGCCCAACCGAGCATCCCATTGCCAGACCCAGGACACACACACTTAATAAATGCAACGGAGATACTGTTTTGGAGACGGAAAGTAGAACCCATGCCTGTGATAAGGAAGATTTAAGGAACAAGACCGATACACCTGTTCATGTTACAGCAAACGACCGAGTCTATAGAAGAGACCCGTCCTGGCTCCATACCCAGGTAGAAGGGTTTCTCACAAGAGTTACTGTTCACCCGTTGCGAGCATCTTTTGTGTTGTTTTCCCTTGGGCTGTTGACACAGTCTTGGGTTTTCAATTGCCGACAGGATTGCCCTTTTCGACTTTGAAGTTTCCTGTATTTTTGGTTGAAGTGGAATCTTGTTATTCGGTACTGCGAGTTCTTGTAAGGTGTGAGATTTTGTTATTTTGTAAAAACCGGTTTCCTCGTGTTTCTATTGGAACACGAACTGGCACAAATCGGAACCAAAAAATACTACTGGAAGTGGAGGCCATTAATTCCTAGGTGGGCACAAACCTGTGTCGTGGGCCAGTGGGACCCATCAAAATTAAACATACGTTATTATTTACGATATTAACAACACAATTATTAACGTAAAGCCCAGACACGTGCTTCTTCGGTATTCAGTGAAATGTGACGATATCATATTTTATACTTTTTTGCAGCCTCTCCAATGTTCCAAGTGAATTTCAGACACATGCTTCCTTTCCAGCTCGCATTCCTCCCCACCACGAACTCAATCGACGCAATCATACAATCCCACTTTAGCCTATTTTTGGGCCCACCATCGAATCTAGAAAATACGAGAAAGAGGCGCAAACTCCAGTGGTTCTATGTAGTCCTACGGCGTGCTGTTAATGCCTGGGAGATTCACGTACTTTCCCACATTGCGTAGAAGTCACAACCTTTGGCGTTTTAGATAACTGCCTTAAACCGCAGATCATCCTGCTTCTAAGGTCTGTCTAAAGCTGCCATTTTTCGAACCGGTTCTCACCTTTGAGTTCGCTTGGCTGCCGCCATGGATGTTTTTGTTACTCGTTGATTAACGTTCACTGTTAATCGCTAACGGAACTCACTCGTCCCGCTCTGCCTTGGGGCTCCTTATCGAGCCCCGTCAGCGGCCGCACAGCGGAGAGTAACTTCTGTTGGGTTCCATTGTGTTTTCCATTGATTTGCGTTCTCTTTTTTGCACCAAACCCCTAGGCTTACCAAACTGGTCATCTTGTCGTTTCTTTTTTCTGTTCAGGTCAAGAAACAGATAGCCCAATGCACTTGCTGCAACCGTATTCATCTTCAACGCCTGGA